ACAGAAATATAGAGATGGCGGATAAAAAAACAAAAGAGGAAAACGTCTGCGGAACAAAGAAACGATAAGGCAAGAAGTAGGACCCGTGTAAATATCGGTTTCTTTGCGCATTTTGCAATCTCTTTTTTTTTTATTAACATTCATGCCGGTTAGCATGAGGTTAGTCTTTATTTTACTGTATTTAATATAAATTCTGGATTTAATTTAATGCGTTTATAATTTTCTTAATATAAATTAAGCGAAGGAAAAGCCACAAATAGGCCATTTTAGATTCTTTAAAAAAAATCACATTTTAAATGTATATAATTTCGTAACAAGCACAAATCTGAGTATGTGAAGTCTAGTGTTTACAACCATGAATTAATATTTCTTAGTGTTGCTTTAATTGTTCTTAGAAATTACAATAGCAAAATACTTTTTTTTTTTTTTTTTACAAGAATGCCCTGTTACAGAAAACCCAAAAATGCAGATATATAAATGGAATATAGTTAAAATCATAATGAACGTTGGCATGCAAAAAAATTGACATCTAATCCATTCAGTAGACTGTATTACTGTAAGGCACAGACCTATTTATAACAGTAGTTTCGTGACATTTTGTTCTTCCTTATGGCATCATCTACTCTCCATCCCATTCCTGCCCTCTAAACCTTGAGCTCAACCAAACTTCATGTCTAGATGCAGAAGCCCTTTTAGAGTGTCTATGAGAACAACTTTCATGGTGGTGAGTGAACCATCTCAGTGGAGAAGAATGGGATCTGTTTGAGAGCTGTCAGTGGAAGAGGCTTGATTTGTCTGCACTGAACTTGTCCTTGCGGATTTTGTAGATGAGCACAGCCAGCATGATGAGGCACAGGCCTCCGAATACCCCTGCTGCCACAGAGACTCCCACCACCACCTCATCCTGCTTCGATTCCTTAGACACTGCAAACACAGACACCAAATTGACCCATTAAAAAAAGGAAACAGATGACAAAAGGTTTAGAAGATCTCCAATTCAAATTTAAAGAACAGAAAACAAGTGCGTACCTGTAGCAACAGGTGCAAATGGTTCTATAGGATTATAAAAAGAAAAAAATTCAAATGATGAGTTCAAACACACTGCATTATGATAAAAGTTAATATACATAAACAATACATGTGCAAATGATATTAGAACATCTTTCCTCATCAGTAAAGTTTATTCATCAGGGGTTCTGCAGGTTTAATGAAGGTAAAGTTTAATTAATTAATTAAATGAAACAAAATAGGTTCATGTGGTCTCTACATGTCTTGCATTAGCAAAGCTTCAGACTTTGAAAAAACTTTCAACATTACGCTTAATTTTACAAAAAAAAATCAATAAAAAATTAAAAGACATTGTTTGAATACTTCTGCTCCCAACCACTACGATATGGAAATAACTTAGAAATTACTGTACCTTCTGATCATAAAATATAATAAAATAAAAGTTCTTCAACAGTATTTTTGTCAAAAAATAATTTACTTGAAAAGCAAAATGATAAAATAAGAAGTCTTTGTTCTCGTTTTAAGCATAAACTTTTGTTCATTTTCTCAGATAAGACCATGTATTTTGCATCTCAAGTAAATGTATCTTGATTTGTTTATATGTCTAGATATTTGTATTGGAAAACAAGATAAAAATTCTGAGGAAGTTTTTTTTTTTTTTTTTTGCAGTGCATGCAACATTTCATGCCATGACTTTTATGAAATTAAGACTTTACGCTGTTATTAAAGAGCTTTTTAGGTCTTTTTGTGGAAGGGTGCATTAAGACCCATACAGTCTATGATTAAGACCTGCAGAAACCCTGTTTCATGCATATTTGAATGATTTCTCTCAAACAGTTGATTGCTCTTACCGTCCACTTTGGTGACGATTGGCCTAGAGCTCACCGTGGCAAAGTCACTCACTGAGGTTCCCTGAGCTGACTGGACGGCCCTCCGCGTCCTTCCGGGGGTTGTGCAATTCTAACGCATGCATCATAAAATGCTTTTAAATACACTTCAGTTAGATGATGGTGTATGTGGCCCTCTTGTGAAGTATATATATTGAGGTTTTTGTTAGCCATGTTACATGTTGTCATACCTGCCGTAAGGATCTACAGAAAGAGCTCTCGCAGAGCCTGGTGGTGCAGTGCAGATAAAACGTCGACACAGTCTTGTTTCTGTGCTCCACAAAGCGAAAAGTCTCGAACGAGAAGCGCGCCACCTGCTGTTCTCCATTCACACCCATTATGGTTTGTAGATCGAGGTTGCATCTGAGAATGACAGAGAGTTGGGTAGTAAAAGTAGTAGTAGATTCCAAAAATTAAGCACTTATAAAATACTTATCTTCAGACTACAGTTTCTAATGTTTCAATACAAATTTATTTATCAATATTCACATTTTCAGGATTTAATTAATTGTCTTTTCATCAACTCAAGCCCTGCAGTTCTTTCAACACCGCTTAAGAAAGCCTTACATAATGTACGTAACAATGTAGTTGATAATAATGGAAAATATTGTATTTTTTTAAATATATTTTTCTTTCTTTTCTGTATTTTTATATAAAGAGTAATGAAAAAAGCCGTCAAATTGCATTACCTAAAATGTTTCATGCAATAGATTATGTTATTAACTACAATTTCTGTCATGTAATTTGCAATCAGTAACAGACTACAGTTTGTAAGTGTACCCAGCACTGGATTTAACTGAGCTGTGGAATCACTTTCAGATGCATATTTGTACCTGAATCATCCTCGCAATCATCTTTGCTTAAGTCAGTGCAAAAATTAGATTCAAATATTAAATATTAGTTAAAAAGTGTAACCGAAACAAAGATTTAAGTCTTCACACATACCCGACAAACAGGTCAAATGATGTGCTGTTTCCTGGGTAAGGACTTGTGGTTGTATAGCATCGATCCAAAAGAACATTGAACCTTTATGGGGGGAAATTATAATATTTTATA